GCTGGAAGCTGCAGTAATTTCAGCACTTGGAAATAAATGAATTAGAAGGTAGAGCTTACACACTGTTTAATCCTTGCCTTTTACTGGATTCAAAATCCTTCTTTCCCTTTCACACTACAGGGAAATACTGGCTGTGTTTTCCATGTGTTACAGAATTGGCCAAATATGTTCAGGGGTTTCATTTTGTTCTGCCATTTATTGCTAGAGGCTGGACTGACCTTAGGCCTCATCTGGAGAGAGGAGTACCACATCCCTCTTCTCTTTCCTCTTATCAGACTGGTTTGTGCTTGGGCTGTTCTCCATGAACTTTCAGTCCAGGGGCACTGTTACATTGAAGGGACTAAAATATCTGGGCTTGATGAGCCTCTCTTTATTAAGGATATTACACATGCACACAGATGGCAAGGGAAGAATGGCAGGGGAGCTGGGACTGAGGGAGTTTTAGCAGAAAGAGGATACCAGAGTGCATCACAGGCAGCCTGCTATCATAGTGAGAACCCCTCAGCTGCTGGAGATCTTCTCAAGTGTAAAAGAAAAGTCCCTAACACCAGTGCTCATTTATTCTTGCTACATGACTCCTAGAGACAGGGGCTGGCCCACTGGAAGGCAAAACTCCCTATTTAGGACATTCAGAAATGAGAAAGGAGAAGGTTTTAGAAGTGATGGTAGGAGACAGGGTGAAATATGGTAGAGGAGATAGAGATAAGAAAAGCAGAACAGGTATTTAGGTATTTCTCAGCTTCACTGCTTTGATCTTTTCCTCTCTTAACCCTTCTTCATTAAGGTTGAGACCATTTAGGACAAGCAGCTTTTTATTTTATTTGTGTGTTAAACAATTATTGTGATTGCTTGGCTCTTTTGTCTTCTTCACTGTGCTCACCTCATGGAGTGTGCAGAGTTCTTGCAAACATCACCACAGGGTAGGAATGGCTAGTTATCTCTGGGACTGCTTGGATCAAATTCCCCATTACCCTGTATGGAGGCTTTTCCCTACTCAAGGTGCAGGTGCTTTCCAGTAGCTAGTGGTGAAGAGTGAAGTCATAGGAGAAAGGTACACAAAGGTGAGGAACCTGAGCTGTGAAACAGCCTGTGCTCATGGTATCTCTGCCCAGGGTTGTCTTCCTTCCCCAATGCTTTCCCTGTTCTTTTCCATCCTAGACAGAAAGCTGTAGGCATCTCAAATCAGTCCTTTGGCTATTTTTCCTGGCAGACCAACCCAAGAGACCCCATCTTTCCAATCTGAGGGGCTGGCACTGCCACCCCTGGAGTTGTTGTCATGAGCTAATGATGGTCCAAAGAAGCTGCTTTTGCTCCCAGAGGGGTTCAGTTGTCCCTGGAGCCTGTTGTCACCAGGTGGCACCCAGCAGTGTAGGTGGTCAGAGCTGTTAGGACCACTTCATAATGATCATCACCTTCATTCCCCTTCTAAACTGGAAAGTGACCCTGGGCTGCGTGGGGGTTTGTTGATCCAGTACACCTGGATACAGGGAGCTGAACGCTCCATGTGCTGTGCCAAATGCAATATCAACTTGATGACATCATCCCTTTTCTGGTGACAGTGGGTGTGCATCCTCAGCTTTCGACAGTCAGTCCTACACACTTTTCTTCTTTCTTGGGAAGGACATTTTTCTTATCATATCACTTCTTGATCTGGCTGTACATAGTTATGGTTTAGTAAAGTCCTTAAATAAATGCTTAACTTTACTTATGTGCGATCATGTTCTCAGTTTGATTTCCTAAGTAAATGAGAACCTTGTGGTTCTCTTCTCTCTCCCCTGTCTATAAGCTGCCTTCCCTAATAAGCTTTCTACCTATTGGCCCTTTTAAACCGAATTTTTCAGAGTCAGTGATCTCAAACATAATGATGCTATTGCGAGTTTTGTGAAGAGCAAAGACTTGGAAAGGAAAAGGCCGAAGTGCCCTGAAAGAAGGAAATGTTGCTGTATGATCTCAACCCCCATGGAATTTCAAAGAAGAAATCTCTCTTTAAGAGAGCATCAAGTGTTCTTCACTCCTGGGAGAGGCCCCAGTCAGAGCTTGTTACTGATGAACTACATACTTCAAGGAAGCCATGGTGGATCTCTCTTGCTCTTTTCTTTGGTGTCTAAGCTAATTCTTCATGTCTTTGATCTTTGGAATTGTACATTTCTTATAAGGCACATGTGAGAGAAGCAGAAAGGGTGGACTATTTGGGGGTTTTCTGGACTTAAATTCTTTAAGCCCATGTGCCCACCCACTCATGTCTCTGAGACAATCTGATGTAACAACCCTTAACCACCAGCTCAGACCTTTGTTTTTCTCCACACCTGCCTGTGTGTTGGATGGAGGCTCACTTTTATTCCTAAGGATGGAGACTGATGACACTGTATGAAAGAGAACTAAAAGAACACTCTATTGCCAGGCTGTGAAAGCAGCATGCCTCAATGTGAAACAGCAGGAAAATTGTCAGTAAAGTTAGATGTTAGGAAAAACATGCGGTGCTCTAGAAAGGAGCATCTTATCACAGGCAGCACCCTGTTCTGGCAACCTCTGAAGACACCTGGCAGGGAATGGTGAGGACTGGAGTATTTACCTCTTAGATACTTCATTTCAGGTGTAAAGGACCTTCAGCACTCCAAGTCTTGATGCCTCTACTGAAATTAGATATGTCAAACCTTCCTGAGTGAACTTTTCTCAGGTTTGGCTGGAAGGAGAGCCCTGTCACTGCTCCTGTGCCTACAGAGCAGCTCACTACTCTAAGACTTGCTCAAATTACAAGAGAGCTGGGTTCAGCTGCTGACTGCTTCCAGGAATAATGATCCCAGGCAGTTCATCTCATAGGCAAACAGCTCCACATCTCAGTCAAGGAGCCACTGCAGACATTTCTTTCCTTCTCCCTGTGCTGTGAAGTCCAGCAGCTAAATGAGCTCTGACAGGGAAAATTAAGAATTACTCCCTATGGTACAACACATTATGGCTTGAACTGAGGGAGTTGAACACTCTCACAAGAAGGAGCAGATTACAACCTGGCTTACCCACTCCTTTCAGAGTGCTCCCATGGTTGAATTAGTGCAGAGATTGGGAATGTAGCACCATGCTGGCCTATGTCCTATGCAGAATAGAACATATCTTCTCTGCTGTGTTCTGAGACCCTCTCCCCTTCTGATTCCCTCTGGGTTACAGAAGCAAAGAAATGCTCAGTCTGCAGATTTCTCTTGTGCTTGGGCTGTCAGATTGCTGCTGCTGCAGTTCCCAGTCCAGTTCTGAAACTGTGATACATGCACTGAATCAGCACTGCAAGTGCTTTGGAAATTTTGAGGTCAAAGCCACAAGTGCCAGTTGATGTGTGGCACCATTTGCTGGAAGCTGAGCACTAGGGGACTGGAGCACTACAATTATGTAAAGTCTGCTGCAGGTCTAACCCTCAGTCTCTTGCCCAAGGTCACATAAGAAGTCCATAGCAGAGAGCAATTGGAAACCAAATAAATCACCAGAATCCTAAGCTAATGTACTCATGGCTGAGTCCAACCCTGTAAAAGAAAAGCTTAAGGGCAGATTGTATTGCTGTCACACCCTTGATAGCATGGGTAATGGTGTCATGAGGACTCAAACTGATGGTAGACATCAGACCATAGAGTCATGGAAACATGGAATGGCCTTGGTTGGAAGGGATCTTAAAGATAATCTAGTTCCAAGCCACTTCCATGGACAGGGATACTTTCCATTATGCCAGGTTGCCCAGTATTCCATTCAATGTGGCCTTGAACATTTCCAGGGATGGGACATGTTTCTGTCAGGTTTCTATAAATGTGTACCTAGTAACTGTTTGACACCTATCGAGTACAAAATAGCTAGCTTATTAAACAACAATGTCATTATACTACCAGCACTACTCATTTCAGCTGGAGTTCAAGCATTACTTTTTTCTTTTCTTTGCCAAGTGGTATTTGATCACTCACCTGCAGAAAGCAACCATTGTCTGACAGGTGAGTAAAATCTGGTTAGTTTTTGGATCTTTCTTTCTTGTAGTCATCAGGCTTGCTGAGGAGGTCAGCAGACCTTGAACTTGACACTGAACTTTTTTGAGTCCTATCCCTCAGCAATCACATTTTCTTATTCACATTTCCTACACTCTCAGGAGTGCAATGGATTTTCTCTCTGAATCTGATAAATAAAGCTGAAGTGTTTCTTCTCCAGTTCTGAATTAACTTTGTTTTCAAATATGTCTTTTAGTTAAGAGGGAATATTTACAAGCTCCTGGTAAGAAACATGCACCTAACAATCGAGGTTTCCAGCTGTATGATTCCCTAGATTACAGCTAAAATACAAGAAAGAATGCTACAAATCTACATTGTCACTATTACCATGATTTATTTTACCAAGGATTAATGAATCATTCGTTCACAAAAGAATTAACAACATTCTTTTTCCACCAGAGAAGGAAATGGTTGCATTAACAAGCAGCTATAGACTGATTCCAAGCAGGCAACCAAGTGTCAGAAAAACAAAAAGGGATTTAATGCTGCACCAGCAGGGAGCTTTTGAGATGGGGAGCTAGGACACCCATTTGCTGCACAGCTTGATAAAGTTTCTTGGCTGACTGCTCCTAGTGGGATAAAAAAATGGGACTCAATCCAGAATGCAAGTGGGATACTGGCTTACACAGAATGAGAAAGGATCAAAAAATTTCTAGCTATGGATTCAGGTGCTGAGATATGGGAAAGCTGAGCTGAGCTGAGTTCATGTTTTTGAGGTTCGCAAGGTTACTTGCTATTGCCTAAGCTTCTGACAGACGATCCAGAAAAGCTATTTCCCAGCAAACTAAGAAGAGCACAAAAGAGGCTTTTTCCTGGGCTTTGCAGAATTCAGGCAGGCACTAACTGAAATCCAACTAAACAAACTTTTGGATGCCCAATGTCCCCTGCATGAAACCATTTGACTCTCCTGTCCTGTGGCTCCTCTCCATGACTCTGAGCAGTGCTGTGGTACTGACCCCGACTGGAACATGCAGCAGCACTTACCTCCAGGACCATCTCTGTCATCTGGAACTGCTTCTGGGAGACCTTGTCAGAGCTCACAGGCTCATGGAAGAGCAGGCAAAGCATGTCATACTTCTTCAGTGCTTGCTTGTAATTCTTCTCGTTCAGGTCAATCACTCGGTCTTTCCCATCGTAAGTAGGGAAGTTCAGTCCCTCTTCTGCCTTGCAGCAGAAAAGCAGGTAAAAACCTGCCAGGATCCAGCAAACTGCCTTCATAGGGGCACCCTTGGACTGCAGCAAAGGGCGGGTAAATGTCCCCCTCTTTCTTAATTTGAGAAGAGAGGGAGACCAAAGACTCCAGGTGAAGTTAGAACTAAGTTTCTCTTAGTTTCTCTAAGTTTCTCTCTGCTGCTTTCCTAGTGTTGCGCCCAAACACTGCAAGACTGGTGAGGAGCAGCAAACTTTGCTGTCCTGTACTCACAACAAAGAGAGAGACAGACGGGAGAAGCTGTCAGGCCAAGCCCTGGATACCTTACATAGCTGTGTCCAGCTCCCGTGTCATTAGGAACTCCATTTTTAGGAAGCAGTTGTTTCAGGCTAAAAATAAACCCTGCAATGAATAAAAGGGACAGATATGACACTATTGAGGGACTTGCTGGCACTCTGCATCATCTGAGAGAGAGGGAGTGGGCAAGACAGAGGGAGTGGAAGATGTCAGTCCTGGGAATATGCAGGCAAGGTTTGAGAAGGGACAGACTTCACTTGCACAGGGAATCAAGGCACAGGCTGTCCTACTAAGTATTGACAAAAATAGAAGGTATTTACTGCAATTTATAATAAGGGTATCTCTCTTTATATCCCTTTGGGTATCACAGTGATTAAGCTTCTGATAACAGATTGCAGGTTAAACAGTTTCAGAGCCTCATCTGCACCACTAGAGGAAAAGTCCTGTTTCCTCAGCATCAAAGGAGGTGAACACTCCTGGGACTTCTTTCTCCTGCCTGGAGCACCATTTGGAGCTGCTAGCTGACATTCAAAGTGCTTTCTGAATCACATTCTCTGCTTGTGGGGCAGCAGGAGAATTGCTGGCCCTTGGACCTGTAATCCAAAAGGAGAGGGGAGCTTGTGTTGCAGCCTCCCATTTTCACAGCCATTCCCAAGCCACATAAATTGCTGGAGCGTGGTTAAACCTTATCATGCTAAGGGGGCTGATGAGTGGGAGGCATGTGCCCAAGCAAGTGTCTTGGGACTGGAGGCAAGGCTCTCCTCAAGAGGATGGTCAGATGGCACCATCACTGCCAGCTGCCCTTTCTGGGCACACAACTCTCTTGCATTTCCCAGCAAGCTGCCCTGCATATTCCTCCTTCTTCATGTCCCAGGGATGGTGGCCAGTTCCTCCTTCTGTGGGAGCTGAGCACCAGCTGCTGCTTTGCTGTATCACCTGCACAGCCCTGCTGGGGGAGAGCAGTTCAGAGGCACAGCCCCTCAGCTCTTCCCCTCCTCTGACCATAGTGTCACCTCTGACCCATGACTGGCAGCAACAGGCAGGTGGAGACAGGCCAGCTGGCCACAAGCCAGCCCTGGGGCTGGCATGGATCCACTGGAAAAGGCCTGCTGAAGGGCTGGCAGAGAAGAGCTTGACAGGGGGCACGGCTCCCTTCCCCCTGCCAAAGTGATGTGCAGACAAGTGGCCTTATCAGGTCTTTTCCTTGCATGGTGCTCCATCACAGCTTTGCTTCATCCACACCAGGGAAGAGACAACATCCCCTCTTAATGCAGTTGTTTCCATTTAATTGTATGTCTGGGATTATTTCAACATTGGGAGCAAAAGGTAAGCATTACTTAGCAATTACAAAACCATAGAATTATTTAGGTTGTAAAAGACTCTGAAGACCATTGAGTCCAGTCATTAATCAAACACTGCCAAGTCCACCACTAAACCATGTCTCTAAGCATCACATCTACATGTCTTTTAAATACCCTGAGGGATGGTGACTAGAACACTTTCCTGGGCAGATCAAACAGATCTCCTGGGTGACTTAGGAGCACACTTTCACTTCTATGTCAACTTTCACTTCCCATCTGAGCAGCCCACAGCCTACTGACTGAAACCCTCTGGGTAATAGTTTTCAAATCTCTCTTATTTCCAAAGCCTTTTCAGAAGTTCAACATTTTCTGGCAAATTAAAGTCCTTATGACAAAGCCTGAGGAATATGGGTAAAAGCCAAAGCAAGACAAGCCTCCAAACTACACTTCTTAGAAGCAGCCTCCAGGGGCAGTCATTTTTAAAGGGAGACGTAAGTCTGAATAAATCTGATTGCTTTTAGTGGGAGACACAAGTCTTGTGTCACAATGGGTGGCAATGGCTGGTTAGGTTTATGCTGAGTGTTTAGGATGTAAAACACAAAACCAAGTTTGTGGGATGATTTGGCATACATTAGGCTGGTTGCTTGCCTTTGAAGGACTCCCATGGATCTGGGGTGCAGGAGCAGGCTTCACTGGCATCACAATATGTTTTAAAGCAGGAGCACATTAGACAGGGTATGAAAATGAAATGTTCACAACTACTTAAAAAAATTGGCTTATGAGGCTCCTGACCTCCTTTATTCTTGCAGATCTTCAGCAATTGCTCCACTTTGATATTGCTTGAGCTATTCTTGATGCACTTTTTCTCTAGTCTGAATAACTTTTTAATCTGCCTAAAAATAGATATAATCCAATTTTCATTTTCTCCTCTTTTTTTTTTTTTCCTAGCAACAGAGGAAAGAAATGCTTCTTATTCACAAAATTTGTTGTTTTGTTAGCCCCACATGGATCTTGTTTATCTGCTTGTGGCATGAGTAGCAAATATTTGTGAATTTTAGGCTTCACCTCTGCATCAAAGGGAATTCTTCCAGCAGACCAACCCTGGGGTCACCAGAGAGTCCATCTCTTTTTGTCTCCACTCAGAACCTCAGTGGGGCTGCTAGGGCTAAATCTAATGGACATTTTCTGTGGTCTTCTAGCTCTAGCTGCATCTCTATGAAATTCAAGACATCTTGTTCACCGAGGCAGAAGTAATGGTGAATTCCTCAAAGCTGAAACAACTGCCTCAGTCACCTGAAATTCTTAATTCCAATAAACTTTAGTCAAAACAGATGTTCTCCTTGCAATCCTGCCAATATAGGTCTGAAATCCTGGATTCATGTGTTTTGGGATGTTTTGAACAGCAGTTAAAGACTTGAATCTGAGCAGAGCTGCTTTGGTTTTTTTTCCCCTGGGAATAGCAGAGCTGGGACTGAAGCAGATGCTCCCACAACCTGACAAAGGCCATAAGTGTTGTGCCTTTCTCTTCATCATCTCTCTTGGTGCTAACAGCAGCACACTGAAATGCGCTCATCTCAACCCCAGAAGCAAAACTCCTTGGAATTTCAAAGCGTGTCTATCCACTTTCAGATAATATTTTAAATTTGGAATTTTGGGCAGGCTCACTGTCAAGAAAAGTATAGTGTGCAGACCCCATGCATTTGAGGAATCTGAGTTTTGTTGAAGGCCCATTTATACAGGACACTGGCATAAGTTTTCTCTGCATGTCAGATCCTCTTTCATAGGGTAAGAGCAATAGCAGTTCCCCTCAGGAGGGAAGGATGAGAGGAGCAAAGAAATTTCACATGTTTCTCTGAGAAATTTCAGATTGTGCACCCCTCTGTTAACTGCAAATACTTTGTGCTCTCCTCCTGCATGGTCTAATGTCTTTCTGATCCCACTTAACTGCCTGTGGTTTCAACACATGTGTTTCTGTGGGCAGTGTCACATGAAGGAATGATATGGTCTGAACTAAATCCTGAGACACTTGCCTTTCAGTTCAGATATCTCATTTCCTGGCAAAGCTGGCATCTGTTAGTCTCTGATATAAGCTGACTGCAAGGTTCAACCTCCCAGCTCTGATTACTTAACCATTGACTCCTTCATCCATTCTGTTGCTGCTTCTCTTAGCCCTGCCTCAAGAAACTAGTACAATGCTTTCCCCCAGCTAACTACTCCAGAGATATTTCCCTGAAAGCTTTCTGAAGAATGAACTGGTAGGGCTCACTGCCTGTCCACCCTGACATGTTGTTCAAACAACCTTTAGAGCTGGCCTAAAACTTGAGGCAGAGATAACTAAGAGGAAACACTTGCTGTTGGTTTATTCACTACTATTGGCTTTCTGCGTCCATCCATTAAGCAAAATCCTAGCTCCAGGAATTTAGCTTGCAAAACCAACCCTGACATTCATTGAAGTACGATTTTACTTTATTTCTTCCAATTTTGTGAGGATGGGTAGTCAGTAACAGTGCTCAAAACAGTACAATCTCATATCTTCAATTCAGGCTTGCAAAAGTGCAGGGTAGGGATGTAGGACAAATAAAAATCTCCTTCTTGATTTTTTTCCCCCTCCTTGTATTATAAATTAGGGATACACACTTGCTGTTCCTCCCTCCTGGCCACTGCAGCCACACTCCATGCTGCTGTTCTCACCTTCACTGTCCTTTCTATCTCACATAGTAAAAGAAGTCCCCAGCCACTGCTGATCCAAATGCTTCAGCAAGCCTTTTTTCCAGGGCTTCAGGATTTAGGGTTCTGCTTTAGCTAATCTCTTTTCAAGCTTCTAAAACCTTGTATGTTTTGCAAGATAGGAGTATTCAGAAAAGATGCCTTTTGCCACCAGCTAGTTAAGCAAGGTCACAGTGGCTAATACCTTGCAGGGTACTGCTGTGACCAGGGTGGGAGCCTCAGAGACACACTGAACTTTCCTAAATAGACCAAGAGAAACACTGTCATCCTGAAAAAAGCTTTGCACTGTAAAAAATGTAGTTCTCTCTCTCTTCCCTTCAGCCCTGAAAGGTGGTCCTTCATGGTGCTTTACATTGCCTGTACTCCAATGCAGTCATGCCATTGATGGCAGGCAAGTACAAGGCAGCGGAGCTGTATCATTGGCATTCCCTCCCTTTTTTACCTCTTACAAATAGCCAGAGATCTTTGTAGTACCTGACCTCAGTACTTTTACTGAGGTGTCTTGAGACTTGTTGTGTGATAATAAGATGCTATAAACCCTTTCTGACTCATGGATGATGCTTTTGATGAGGAAAAACCAAATATAGGACAGACAAAAGCACTTCTATGAAATTATATAGAAGTTGTGAAGGGAAGGTCAAGAAGATAATCCAGGTGTCCTAACTCATTCTCAGACAAACAGGCATTTCAAAAAAATCTTTGTTTTTTAGGCATTGTGCCCCCCAAAGCAAAGTTGCTCTGTGCCACTTTGGAGGGATTATTGCACCTCTCTGCCTTTGGGACCTCGTCTGGCACATGTGAATTGTATGTGTCACAAAGTAATTTAGAAGGTCAAAACTGGGACTGTCCCAGAAAGACTGGGATAGTTAACTCTTAATGAGCTAATAATCTCTACACAGCAAGAAAGGATTTAACTAAGACTTCACTGTGGCC